AACATGAGGAAAAACTTCTTCACTGTGAGAGTGACAGAGCATTGGAACAGGTTGCCCTGAGGGAGGTCGTGAAGTCTCCTTCCCTGGAGATATTCAAAACCCGTCTGGATGCGATCCTGGGCAACGTGCTCTAGAGGACCCTGCTTGAGCAGGGAGGTTGGACTAGATGATCTCCAGAGGTCCCTTCCACCCTGGGCCATTCTGTGATGCTGTGATGTACTTGATAAGCCCACAAATGGCCAGTATTCTTTCTGACCTGTGCAAAATTCTTAGCTTCTAATGAGGTAATGGCTGAGGCAGTTACGAAAACATTGTGCTTGCAGATCTGATTAAAAACACTCTTTTTCACTTCATCTCTCACAGCATGATTGCATTGTTGAGTAATAGTCAGGGAGACAGGAATTCCTGCTCTCTCTCCATCAGTGGTGGGGACAATAAGCACAATAACTAGTAGAATAACTGCAATTTTTGACATATTATCCACGTACATATACATCTACAGGAAGATATTCCATTCAAAGGTATGCCTGTAAGAGATAGAAAGCAACAAAAGCAGCTCTGCCATGTTTCAGATGCCTCTGTCATCTACAGGCTGTGCAAGAAAAGCAGAAGGAGCTGAGTTGTAGTAATGCCTATTGAATTTGGGGGGGGGCAGCGTAAATCTTTCAAAACTGGCACAGGGAGTCATGTGTGTTCAGAAAGTCCTGCAGCTGGGCACAGGCTTGCCGCTGAAGGGTGGCTTGGCACTTGTCGTCATCTGGAATTTTCTCCACCCAGGCTTGTGAATCAAGGAAGTACTGTAGCCTAAGTAAAAATGGGAAAGGTAAAGGAGGCGATTTATTATTGAGCAACTGGCGAGCACAAGCCCCATGACGTCGTATCCCTCCATTGAGCTATCTCTGAAGTCAAATAGTGCTATGCTGGCCAGGAAACCTGCATCTAGTTTCATCAGCAGGTTAACTGAGCTTGGAATAAAGTTTAGGAAAAGTCCGTGCCAAGTTGGGATAAGCCTAGGTGTACTTGTGTTTGGGGGGTGATACTAAGCAAGTTTGGTTTAAGTTTCTGTTAGAATTCTGTGGAACATCAGAAAAATCCCCAATGAACACCGGTGGCACACAGTGAAGGGGCATTTTTTTTCGGCAGAACATGTCAAAATGTTGCCTAATTTTTCAAAATGTTACCTAATTTTTTGTGATGAGAAGCCATGCAGCTTCTGGCATTTTATAACTGGACTGGAGAAGGCTTCAGAGGTTACACCTCTGTTGGGAAAGTCTTCAGGACCTTAGCAGGCATCTGCTGAAGCAGTCCTCCTAACTTACATGCTTGCATCATTTTTATACAGGAGTGGACAGAGAGGACCCTTGAGGGTTCCTGAAAGCGATGCTATAGAAATGGTCTCCCTCCTAGAAGCTTTCAAAGGCACTATCTTTCTGCCCTTCTGTACAGAGAAATTAGACATTTAAGATGTATTCCTCACTGAT